GGTGAGAGGATTCACCAGGAACAGAGTGGGGAGCAGAACAGGCAGATCGACGACGAAGGACACTGCTGAGGGGAGCAGCGGGCGGGTCAGGAGAGGTCTGCAACGCCATGTGGGTCACCTCTGGGGCGAGCAGAACGAACTCTCATGCTCACTTGCTGTAACCCGCTGAGCCACCAGGGAGGGCCCCACTTTCCTTTTCTTAAGAAAAAAGAGGCTCAGGGGGGGTGAGAGGATTCACCGGAGACAGAGTGGGGAGCAGAACAGGCAGATCGACGAAGTACACTGCTGAGGGGAGCAGCGGGCGGGGAGAGGTCTGCCACGCCATGTGGTCACCTCCCGGGCAGGCGGGGATCGAACTCATGCGGAAGTGGCTTTGACTTCTTTAGTGCTGTGCTTTAACCCGCTGCGCCACCAGGGAGGGCCACATTTTAACTTTTTACTGTAAAGTATGTGTGTTTAAAATCAGCATCTCCTATCTCTAATGCATGTATTTTGAGGTTATAAGGTATCTTACATTATTTCTGAGGCAGACAAAATAGAAATGTTGTTAGTGAGCATATAATTATGTATCATCATCTATGTAGATATAAAATACACCATGCATATATATAATGTTACTATTTCTTACATAATAATGAAGTCTAATAAGTGCAAAATTTTGAGACCAACCTGCCTACTTGTTTACTCACTACACTGAAATGGCTTCCCTGATTTCAGTGGACAAACAATTATATGAGACTACTCCGTAGTGTAAATGAAAATACCTGTTTAAGTATTTTGCTCATTATCCTATTTACATTTCAGGGAAAACTACCTTTGCTTTTGAGCCGGATGAAAGAAGTAGGGAAAGTATTTCTTGCCACCAACAGTGATTATAAATATACAGATGTAAGTGCTTAATGTTCTTAGTGGTTTATATAAAAATTCTTTTGGTCTAAAGAACTGTGAAGATGAGGATAGTAGTTTATTGAAGTTTTTTCCCCCCATTGTTGTTTCGCTGTTTCAAAGTGAAAAAACAAAAGATACATAGGATTTAGGCTATGACATAGTTCTCAAATATTTCAAAATATTTCTTTTGACTGTTTCCCCTTATTACAATTGGCTATTTGAAGGCTTTGATTTGGGGGCTTAAAACAATTGAAGTGATTGAATAGCTTGTATTTTTTCTGATGCATTGTCTGTATCAACTTGAGTAGTCACATCTTTTATTACACAGGCACAAACTATACCTATGCAATGTATACACCCCGCCCCCCCCACACACACAGACACATTTGGGAGCTAGAGAGCAATGGATGGTACAAACATACTTGATTTTAATTATCAAAATGTACTATCTTGTAATATATTTTTGCAGTGATTAAAATGTAGAAAAGTTAACACAATTCCTTAACTTAATCTTACTTTTGCTAAGACAGTTAATAAATTTATAGTAGCAGTAAGTAGCTTAGCATTCCCCCACAATACTTTATATAAGTTCTTGATTTAGAACCCAGTTATTTGGAGTGAACAGTCTTTTAAGGCCAGTGGTTCATTGACTTGGTTGATCTAGGATCAGTAGTAAGGTGGCCAAAGTATATATGTTACTTTCAAAGTGAGTTTTAATTTTTTCAATGCCCCTTATATCCAGCTATGTAGTATTCTATCTAATATTCCAGCCCACTAGGAGAACTGGATAGAGATTGATGGAGGAGTCTATGCAAAAATATCTCCTAGAAGCAGCCTTTATTTGCTGAGAATGTTAATTTTTTTTTTGTTATAGTGAATCATTGATCTCTGATGTCACTGCCATGATTTTATAAACTTCACAGGGAAAAAAGAAAGTGAATATATTGAAAAAGACATGTGTTAGGAAAAACTTTAAATTTTTTTGATGTTGTGTGTATTTTATAAGAATTATGTGTGAGTCTTATGTTGATTCTTTTTTTTCCCCTACTCTCCAGAAAATTATGACTTACCTATTTGATTTCCCACATGGCCCTAAGGTATGACATGTAACTTAACAGAACATTTCCTTCAGTAACAATACTTTTAATCATCCTGGAATATTGAGGGTATGGAACTGGTCAGAATCAATCCAGAAATCTTTACTAACTTTAGAAGTAGTGTAGGAATTAGTAGAATTGAAAGGCACTAGCAATGTGAATAGTGGGGAGACAGAAATAAGAGCTGTTGACTTGGTATATTTTGTACCCAAGAATAATTTTATACCAAGGAATTCTATGCAAAATGTGATATTTGTGTGACAATGAAAGGAACTTTTTGGTTGAGGAAGGTCTGATTTAAAATAAACAAATTGTATATTCTTGACAGCATCTGCATTCTCCTGTTAATGCTGAGCTTTATGCCAAAAGAAGAGTTAATCTTGCTATTTAGCAGGGTCTTCATTCCTATGGTATGACTCCACTTCGATTTAAAGCATACTGTTGGAAATTTGAGTCCTGTGCTCCTTTGAATAAATGTCAGTATATCCCAGTTTTCAGATTACCCAAATGTACAAGTACACAGTACTCTTCAGCTTGGCCTTAAAGGCTAATTCCATGGTTCTATTTATTTCAGGACAGAAATAATGTTAGTGGGTATAACTTCTGTGATTAGCCTGCAATATTTATGGGTCTTCAGGTAAACACTGGTCTTGAGTCATCATTCTGAGAAATAACTGGTAAAATTCCTAATAATGATTCCATGATAGCTTATACTCAGTTTTGATGATTTACCTATTACTGAATGTGTCTTTTCAGCCTTTGTAACTCTCCTTAAGAGAACATAATTTCTTTCATATATTAAATATGTGTGAAAAAATTAAATGATTTAGATTATCAGATTGACTTAGTTTTACCTTGCCTGCTTTGAAAAGAATATGCCTTGTGAGACTGTTTTTAATGGACTAGTGGTATCTTTTATTTATACTTTTAATATTTCAACATTCCTCACATCTGAGTAAGATTAATTATTACTACCTTAATAAGGTAAAGAGGGATGTTTAACTTTTGCTGGTTTTCCTTTGTCAGCCTGGGAGTTCCCATCGACCTTGGCAGTCCTACTTTGACCTGATCTTGGTGGATGCACGGAAACCCCTCTTTTTTGGAGAAGGCACAGTACTACGTCAAGTGGATACTGTAAGTTGAGAGAATGATCTGTCTGCTAGCACGCTGTCCATGTTTCTCTCCTACTGTTCCTAGTCTGAGAAACAGGTATTTTATTAGCATATTACTTTTGAAATCAATCTGTCTTAATTGAGATAGTTCTTTTGAATCTTATTATTTTGAACTATTTGGCTATTTATTCATTTGGCTATCTAGCCAAGTAGCATTCTGGGTAGCAACTTTAATAGAATGATAAAAATTTATAAAGGCTATATATATATATCTCTTCACACAGAAAACTGGCAAGCTGAAAATTGGTACCTACACAGGTCCTTTACAGCATGGCATTGTCTACTCGGGAGGTGAGTCATAAGCTTCCGTTTATTTAGTGTTTTTTTGCACAGACCGCACTCTGAAAGCTGTGGCATCCTTCCATCTCAGTATCACATATTTTCATCAGTATTTTTAGTGTACTAAAGTCATATATTTCAGTCACCTGTACTGCAAAAAGATTAGCGAGAATGGGTTTGATAAGTTGTAAGTCCTACCAAATCTTTAATTTTCACTGAAAGGATCAGTTTTTCTTCATCCTTTTATCTGAGGCTTTTTCTCAGCATACTGAATCACCTGGGATGGTTCTCAAGAGGTGCTGAAGGGGCTTTTGAAAAGTTCCTGTAGATACCTAGTTAGAAACAATTGAACAAAGACCACTTAATGTGTGATGAGAAATGGCATTGTTACTTAAGCTGAAACATGAAGTTTTTTTTTAGCACAGAGGAACTGAAGGCCTTGTCTTAGAAGCAATTTAAGAAGTGATGAAAAGGGACCTTTTTTTAAGCACAGCAAGCTCTTTTCCTAGTCTCTCTCAATTATAATAAATTTAGTCAGTAGTATTTAATAGTTTTGATACTTGAAATACTAGCTTTTACTGTGGAGACATTTTTGTCTTTTTAACATTGCTCATCCATTGTTTCAGGTTCGTCTGATACCATCTGTGATCTATTGGGAGCCAAGGGCAAGGACATTTTATATATTGGAGATCACATTTTTGGGGACATTTTAAAATCAAAGAAACGGCAAGGATGGCGAACTTTCTTAGTGATACCTGAACTTGCACAGGAGCTACATGTCTGGACTGACAAAAGTTGTAAGGAGCATAACTCTATACAGTTTGACATCTGCTATACATCAGTCTTTTTTTAAATTATTATATATTGCCTACCTGTATGGACAACTATTTCACATACTGCAGGATTTGTGGAACTCTGACAGTTTCGCAAGATTAAGTGTAGAATGTTTTTGTCCTGTATTATATTACAGTAGCAACTAAGCTGAGAATTCCACTTTCTTCTGCAGTTCCAGTTCCTCTGCTGTCAGCCTGTAACTGATTCTGGGGAAGTGAAGGCCCTGCATGTTAATTAATCACCTCTTTGGTGATTAATTTGCTCTTTTGAGATGCAGAAAATGAGGCTGAATTTGCATTCTCTGAACTGAGTTAGATTGTGATCTAGTTATATTTCAATGTTTGACAAACAGGTTCTCCAGTCCTAGCTAACATCGCCCAGTGTGGTGAAAAGTACTGCCTGATAGTAACTAACCCTGGCTCCTCCACTTGATATCTGCATACTTAGACTAGTTACTGGGACGCCCTGTGCCATAGCTTCTTTAAGCAAAACAATAAGTTTCATAAAGCTGATGAGTCTTAATATGTTAACCTAAGTTTAAGAAAACAGAAAATGCTTTGTCAATTCTTCCATAGGTAGCAGGTAAAGAAAATGTTGTATTCAAGAAATACATTAAAAGTATGTAAGATGTTGGCTGTTGCTGTTGTTTGGATTTTATAAGTGGCATTTTCCCACTTGCCATGTTTTAAATTTCCATGACCCGTGTGATTGGACAAGTCACCCACTAGTAATTTTTTCATCTGAAAATTGAACTGTTTACACTTGCCCTGCTGACACCACCTGAAAATGGGGTATCAGAATCAGTGTGTAGGCATTAGTTACGAAGGAAGAAAGACGGTTAAAGAGGAAATTCACATTTACCTGTTGCCATCATCCAAGCAGGGGATCAGTGTGTTCTCCTGAAGTGAGAGAAGATGGCTTTATATACCCACCTATATAGCAATGTAATCACTCACTTTACTTCCATCAGCAGTTAAGACTGGATAATTGAATTTGACATTTACCTTTTCCTTCCTTAACTAGCTCTTTTTGAAGAACTTCAAAGCTTGGATATTTTCTTGGCTGAACTATACAAGTAAGTTTCCTAGTTCTAAAAATTTCTTCTCTTAAAAAACCATCTACCTCTTTCTGTGAGATGTCCTTGCTAGAGATTTTTTACTGGACTATTTTTTCATTTCCAGACACCTTGACAGTAGCAGTAATGAACGCCCAGATATTAGCTCCATCCAGAGACGTATTAAGGTATACAAATGAGATGTAAGACAAAACTTGGAAAATGGAATTTAAGTGATTTTTGTATTTCTGAATGAGCTCAGATTCAAATCTCGTTTTAGAAAGTAACTCATGACATGGATATGTGCTATGGGATGATGGGAAGCCTGTTTCGCAGTGGCTCGCGACAGACCCTCTTTGCCAGTCAAGTGATGCGTTATGCTGATCTCTATGCAGCATCTTTCATTAACCTGCTGTATTATCCATTCAGCTACCTCTTCAGAGCTGCCCATGTATTGGTGAGTTAATTATAAAGATAGCTTATGATTTTATTAAGGTACATTTGCTCCCAGTTTTGTGGAATGGTACAGGAGTGTTTGGATATTTTCTAATATACAAAAAAACTCTAGCTTGGTTGCACAAAAAGTTTTCTAAGATAATAAGAGCAAAGAAATTATTACAAAGTGTAAACTTTACAATTTAAAAGTTGTTTGAAGGACAGACTTTACTTTTATACGTACTGAACAGTAAGAAAGAACCTCTTCCATCTGATCCAGATGCTATAGTCAACTATAGCAAAAATTGGGGAATAACTTTGAGGATTGAAGGGAATACAGGCAGCTTTTATTTAGGTGTATCGAAGACAATACTTTACCATCTAAATTGGATTGGCTTCTGGTCAATATAGGCATACTTTTGCATAGCCAGCACCCAAGAAGTGTGCCAGAATTTGGGAAAAAGCTTTTCTTCTTCACCTGCTTTCTGAACTTTTCTCCTAGATGCCACATGAATCAACAGTGGAACACACACATGTAGATATCAACGAGATGGAATCCCCTCTTGCCACTCGGAACCGCACCTCAGTGGATTTCAAAGATACCGACTATAAGCGGCACCAGTTGACACGGTCGATCAGTGAGATTAAACCCCCTAATCTCTTCCCACTGGCCCCCCAGGAAATTACTCACTGCCATGATGAAGATGATGATGAGGAGGAGGAAGAATAGGAGGAAAACCAAAACTCTGACACTTATTAAATAAGTTATGGCAGGACCCACAGGAACAGATGGTCCCTGATTGGGTGTTTAGTTGGGAGGGTGGAGGAGGAAGGACTCTCCCTCAAAGATACATCTGGAAAGTTTCTGAAGACTAACTACTCCTCTAGGGAGATATTATTTTAGCTTTATGTGTCTGCACACTTTGCAGATGGTTCAAGTGGCAATGGAATTTAGTGGAAGAGGGGATAAAAAAAGTCAGGCTGAATTGAATGCAGATGGTTCCACTGTGGCTTGTGACAGTTTCCTTGTCTTGTTTCATCATCAGCATATACTAAAGGTGTCAGAGTGGAGCAAGGACAGCAGAGGTGATTCCAATGTTAAAATGTTATTTTAAAAATTGTGCCCTTCCTACAAAATCTGTCTTTTTTTCCAGTGTATAATGTAGTGTTGTATATCAGTGGAAAAATAGTTTCCATGATCACATGTAGTCTTCTGTAAAGTCAGGGTTCTTTTCATAAACCTTTAAGTGTCCTCAGTGACTTTGCAGATGTGTTTTCTACTTGCTTTAGGACTGGTCTGAGTATATTTTTAATAGCAAAAATGCTAGTTATCCAAAAATAATTATATAAAATTAACCTGTAGAGAAAATTTAGCTGAAAATAGGACAAAGCCCTCTGAAGAGGTGGTGAGTAAAATTCATTAGTATGGTTCTTCCTACCCACTACCACTTTTCTCTATCCTCTAGCCGTATTATAAAGTCAGGCCCTGGAGGATGGAAGAGGGCTCTTTAAGCCAGGACCTTACTAAAGCAGAGGGCACAATCAGTGTGAGTAGATTCACTTCAGAATCCCAAGTGGAATCACTTCTTGTTTTGAACAAGAATGTATCATTACTTTACTATACACTTTAGGGTATTATAATGGCCTCATAAGTATAGCAAAAGTTGTTAAATTTTTAACAGTGGCATACAATCTTAGTTTAGGCTTGATATACTTCTTGTCATTAGATAACTTGGGAGGATAGATTAGTTGCTTTAGAATTCAATAAAGTACAATATTTCTAATACTGACTTTGACCCCTTCCTGTTGCATAACTGTAATGACTATTGACTGGGCAGTGACATTCTTGTGAAGATAACAAAAAAAACCACTTTATAAGTAGAGAACACAACCACTTAATATCCATTCACTGCTTTCAATACACATAGTTTTACATTAATTGTCAAGAAATATGTTTGAATGGCTGTTTGAAATGATCTCCTTATCTTAGTTGTCCATCTTGAATGAGAACCACCACTGGGTTGACATGTTTCCCAATTTGACATGAGCTACTGGTTAGTAGTAGCACATGTCTTTTCCATTTCAGAGCAAGAACCAACTTTGCTTTATCACACTTTCTTATAAAAAAGTTGATGTTTCTCTACAGTAAGTCTAAAGATTGAGAACTCAAAAGCATAAATTTCACTGCTTGTCATAACTATTTTAAGACCACCAAATCATTTTAAAGTTCAAGAAGCCTAAGACCCATAGCTGTGTTGCTTCTTTGTGTTAGTGTTCTAGGTGGGGGAGTGGTTCATGGGCAGGCATCTGGGGAGTTGTAAAATATGTTTCTGTTAAGGAAGCTGAATGGAAATTAGATTGTGACACCCGACTTTCCTTAGTATTTGGAAACACTGCTAAACTGAATGTCCAACTTAATGGCCCTGACATATCCAACAGGCAGACCTCAGCTCCGCTGGGGAACTCAGCCCATATGTTCATCTCTGCAATGATGGTAGTTAATGGCTAAGTGTACAGATTTCAGAAAAGTTGCTTTTAGGCAAAGTGGTTCGTAATGGAACTAGAGTAAATAACTTGAACTTACAAATCCTTTAGTTATGTTAGTATTGTTTTAAGAACCACTTTAAAAAGCACTTTGTCCATGTTTAGATATTTCTGAATCAGATTTATTTGTTTAAGAAATCTTTTGTCAACAATTTTAAAGTTCTACAATTTTTCCAGGGCTGCCAGAGTTGCCAGAGTATTTAAAAATACTCTGTTTATTTTCCACAAATAGCCTGAGACAAACAACTGCATATTTAACTCTGCATTAAGGTTAGGAGTCTTGTCCACATTCCATGTTATGGAAACTATTTAACCTTTCTTTGATGGTGGGAAAAATGGTAACTATTGCCATACAGTTAATGGTCCAATTCCTGTGTTAGTACTTTGTCTCAATACTTAGGTTTCTCATGCATTCTTTCTTGGTGACTAGGGCCTAGAGTTCCTAAAGTCATTTCTCAAACGAAACAATATCAAATAATGCAGACCTTCGGGGAGACTATAAGAACTGGAGCTACTCAAGCAGCCTTAAGATAGAAGAACAACTAACTGTACCTGCTTCCAAAGCAGGGGGTATGTGTACACATAGCAGTGAGGGACTAGAGGCAGGCAACTTCCAGTAATCCACATGTTAATTCATCTAAAGAGCATGCGATTGCTTCCAGAATGATCAAGGCAAGGTTTCTACTAACCTGGCAATCTCAACCTTTTAACCTGTTCTTAAAAGCAGTGTTTTCATCCTAAGGCCACAAAGGTCAGTCAGACCTGTTCCAAAAAAAGATGTGTGATTTCAATAATAAAATATGTATCTCTCTGTGGCACTTTAAACACAAAAAGTACTCCCAAGTGAACATAAAACAAGCCTCATCTCAAGCAATCTATTTAAACATTTTACAATTTAAAACAAGATGACCAGCCTCTTGTTTCTCCACAACGTAAGATACCTTTGTTCCATTACTAGAATAAAGGTGGATTAGATAGTCAAATTAGATATGAGTATGTCCCCAAATACATTTATTTATCGTCCATTTCCTTCTGTCTATTGTGCTTGGTCTAAAAAAAAAAAAATCTGTGCTGAGATGAGTCTGAGCAACTGAATGAGCATGCAACCTTTCCATGACAGACAGCAGTTGTCCTCCCAAGTCCAACCAGGTCCTAAGACATTGCAAAGGGGGTTTGCCAAACCTTCCCAAGACTGAAAAATGTCTAGTAAAGTATCCAGTCTTTTGAAAGAGTTCTCAGAGTGGGTGTTTTAAAATCATTTTAGACCCCATTGGCCCTCATGTTCAAAAATACTTTGTTCTGAAAGAACATGGATTGAGGATCTTGGAGGGAAAATGGTGAAACAAATAAAGTAAAAGGCTTTATTAGCCATCTAATATGATAATTTTTGGCCTAGTAAGGAATCTTCCAAAGTATAAAATAAGTTTTTTGCACTCAAGCTATGAAAAGATCATCTGGTTTGTACCATTTTGCTCTACAAGAAAATCACTACTGTCTTCAGAAGTGCCGAGTTGGGAAGAGGCAGTGGGAGACACAATTTGTTATATGAAACAGAACCCCAGGGCTTTTCATGAAGTCTAGAAGAGAACCAGTACATGGATGCAGGTGGACTTAGGCATGTCTCTATTTCATAGTAGGAAAAATTACCTCTATTTTCTTTGGAGAATTTCCTGATTTGACCTTAAAACAGAAGAAACTATTAACAAAGCAGAAGTGGGGAGAGGTTATGCTGAAGTCACTTAATTCCTTTCCAATCTTGATGGCAATAAAGCAATTCACAGTCACTGGTACTACTGAGATTAGCAAACAGAATCCCAAGAAGGTACTACTTCACTGTGACATAGAAATTATTACTTCATTCTACTTTCAGGAAATGGGGGAAGTAACAGAGGTTAGGTCAGGCCCAGCAAATCTGATCCTAACTAAGTTCATCAATGAAATGTCTCCAGATAAGTGTAAGTAAAATAAACTGCAAAGATCCTTGTTAATACAGTGGGGGGAAAAGGAGCAGTCATCAAGAGATTCAACTCGCAGAACATACTTCTCTGAAATAGTCTCTATTCCAATGAGAATAGAGAATAAGAGAGTAGAGAGGGAAAATATTCCAATAAGATACGGTCTAGGAATTGGTCACAGAGGGGCCTGAACCTTGACAAGAACTTCAGGTCTGATCACAGGAGAGGAGGCTAAGATAGAAAGAAGACCTGAAATGACGACGGAAGATGGGCGAAAATCCAGTGCAGCTCATACACGCTGGATACGGGGAATGTGGGATGTCTACTGAATCTGGAAGAGCATTTGAACGTGCCTTACGTACTCATGCCACATTTTTAACTTGAGGGTGAACCATCTGTGCCTTTGCCATCTTTCTCCTAGGCTTTGTATAGCAGAGGAGGCCCTAAAAAGCCATTCTCGTCTCATAGAGCCAACTAAGAGACTAGAATGAAGCCTAGATCTTGCCTACAGAAAACAAAACAAAAAAAACCAGTTTAGACATTTGCCCAGTCGAAATGTGTGTTAGTGTGACTGAGCATCCTTGTGAAGGAGGACACTTACCATCCTGTAGATTGTACTAGCTTCTAAGCTGGAGGCGCTGTTGTAGCAATCTTAACATTCACAAGTCTTTGTGATGTCTATCCAAAGAAAATGCCTTGCTGTGTTTCCATGCCAACAACCAAGCCCAGCTTTTCACCAGTAAAAGCCATGCAGTCTGGCAGGGAACCAAGGTTGGTGTTGCATAGATGAAAAGGGGAAAGAGGGAACACACATCTGCTAGCAGGGTGAACAGAAAATCATTTATCTAAATAGAATAATAGAAACAAAACCTTTTGAACAATCACAAAATTTACAAATAAATTGGTACAAAATAAATAGGAGAGATTGTAAATCTACAACATTTGAATTATAAAATGCATTCATTATGACAATCAGCTCATGAAACCTATACATGTCATTTGTGCTTATTTAGGTTTATGTACACAGCTCTGAATACTGTGTTCAGAAAACTTCACTGCTGAAAGGAATGAAATGTACACTATGATACAGTAAGTAAAGGCTAAGAGGATGAAAATCAGACACAAAATGGGTTTATTTTAGGACCAAGGCAATGTTAGCATTGGGCCTCAAAACCAAGAAAAGGCATATTAGAAGCCCAGATGGGCAGGCAGCTTCCAGGGTCCAAAGATGGATTCTAAAATCCAAGGTGGGAAGTGGAGGCAATCACTGTGGTGGGACCAGACAATGCACTTGACTTGGGAGGGTAGGGAGGAGGGTGGGCGCTGGTTCCACAGCTGTGCTGTACCACTATGTAGAAAGTAGACCCAGTCACCAGGAAACCACCTCTGAAGTGTTTCACAAAGATACCTGAGAGGCTGTGCCACAAAGTAGATCTTGCTTTCATCCTCATCCCAAACACTGGTCATCAGGAATAGAGGTGGACCCAAAAGAGGAGCCAGGGATGCTTGGGTCAACATAAGTGCAGCAACCTGTTTAAAATGAAAACAAAACTGCAGCCCCCCCCCCCAAAGGGTCGCTAGAACCCTAGACTCCATGAAGGGCTCCAGTTCAGATCTCATCTTGGTCAGTGTACTAACAGTAGAGGCATATGTACATAATAAATAACATAAAATAAAGCAAGCACATCTATGGGTTTAAATGACTCCAGAAACAAGTTCATTGGGACTGATGCATTCCACCTCTGGAGTAGACTTCAGATACAGGGACTACGAAGTCGAGATAGGCTAGGACTCTGCAGAGTCCTGAGGCCTTGCTGTTTCCCACTTCCTCCTGTTCTAGAAGCCTGAGACCAGCTGATTATACCCAACAAAAACCGCACGCACGCGCACACACAAGCCTGACCAGGTCCATGTGGATAGCTCCCCAGGATGAAATGTGAAGAGGAATGTGGCCCCCCAAGAAAACTTCCTGAGTGACTCCATATTGGTCAGATGTGAGCAGTACCAGAAGGGAAGACATCCCACCATTCCAATGTGTGGTCTCTAAAGGTGACAAAATTTGAAAACATAATCGAGCCTTAGGGTACCTGTACATATAAGCCTTGACCTACAAACTCCTAGAACTTTGCTTTCTCATTAGAAACCTTCCATGTTGCTTCAAATGTAGCCTGGTATTTCCTATTAAAAGATAAATTTAAGACAATTCTAGTGAAATGTCAGTGGCTCTAACATAGCTGGAGTTTACATAAGCCAAGCCAACCATAAAGGTTTCTAAGTAGCAGAGGAGGGCCCCAGTCCAGATAGATGAGGAAGCTCCTCCAGGCTGTCCTCTCTTTAGGGCTGAACAAGGATTCTGGAATCTTCAGACAGGGCAGAAGGGAAATCAGCAAGTGTTCACTGCAGGAAGCTTCCCTGCAAGTGCTGGAGGAGAAGCGCCATGTCACAGCTTTGAGGGGTGGTCATATAATACAAGCACCATTCATATGGAGGCAAATGAACCTCATCTTAGAATTCTCTGAACTCAGCTCTCCTATCAGCCCACTTGAATACTAAAGAAACGAAAAAATGATTTCCAAATGGCCCTGAGGTATAAAATTTCACTGAGTAGGTTGTTCACTGGTAAAATTTATATCAGAAAGGTTTCTGAATCTCCAAGCCACTTTCACATTCAAGCCTCTAAATCCCTCCTAATTCTGGGTTATCCTACAACATACCCAGGCACCCTTGCTGGACAAAAGCACCACCAGTAATGAGCCTAGAGTCCAGAATGGAAGTAAACCTGTGTCTTCAAGTAGAAAGCAAACAGGTGCCTCAGAAACCTCTATACCCTAAAATAGCCAGCTCAGCCTTGGATTCTTAAAACCCTGCAAGAAAAACCTACCTCTGTGGTCAAGGGTGAGAGGAGCTGTTACCACTCCCCAAGCTTGTGCCCCTAAACCACCCCCTCCCTGGCAGCCTCTGGTGGAACAAGGTAAATTACCTTCCTGCGTATTTACCAGCCTCTGGTGGAACAAGGTAAATACCTTCCTGCGCCAGCCCTGACCCCACCAAGCCTCTCCCTGTGAACACCCCTGGGGAACACTGGTGGGATCTTGGTCTCCTTGGCCCAGGAAAGGTAAAAATGGCCACAGATCCCTGATTTCCAGATGACTGGGTTGATTCCTGTTTTGCCCTAGCCGTAACACATTCAGAGACTGAGCGAATTCGACCCAGAGCAAATTTGAGAAAAAGTTAATGGTCCATGCTTAGCCCAAATTCCTGTTGTTTAATTTCCTGGGGAAAATGCAATTCTATTTTCCTAGACCTAGTGCAGCCACTCCTTTAGTCCTATGGTACAGGGGATATAACACAGGCAATATATTCACAGTTAATGTCCCACATTAGTGTAAAGTTCTGTGTTCAGTATCTGCACAGAAATTTCTTAAAATAACGTTAGAAAGTGGCAAGATGCATAGAGTCCCTCCACATGGAAAGCCAGCTGTGTCAATGTGAGCACTGAACTCTCTTCAGGAAGTGAGGAGTGGGAAGGAAGAATAGTTTAAACAGGTCCCCTTTCACATTTAACTTTTGGAAGAAACAAGGTTTGAGCTAGTTGATTAGCACTCCAATATCCATGTACAAATTCTTAAGGTTCTGTTTTCCTAAGATGAATTTGGACTTGCTTGGTGAATATGGAATAGACAGAAACAAAGGGAGAGAATCTCTAAGGCAATAGGGCAAACAAAACAAAACAAAGCAACCCAATTAATTATTTATAAAGACTGTTCTTTATAATTAGATACCAAGAATCCAGTTCCTGGGGTCCCCACAGAGTGACAGCTTAGGAGAGAGCTGGAGGTGGTGCTGTCCTGCTACACCGAGCTGGGCACAGGCCCCACAACCACAGCCCTCCACGCTGACAAAGCCAGCAGCCCGAGGCAAGGATGACCCACTGGTGGTGCTGCTGCCTCCGCCCTGCTGCCTCCGCCCGGCCATTCACATCGAGTTCTCAACGACTTGACAATATTTCTCTGCCTGACTCCTATTTCTCCTATAGACATGAATGGCACAGAACTTCTAAGCCCAAGTCACCCTCCTGCTGCCTCAGAGAAGCAGTAAGCCAGTGTTTTCTCCTTCAGAAGCCTGAGGTCAGTTTCCAGAAGAGGAGCCTGGTCACTCAAACACTGAGTGTTGTGTAAAGAGTGATCACTCACCAAAGCCAGGGGCCAGAAAGGAATTATTTTGGATTCCCTGTTCTTACAGTGTTAACTGTTCCCTGTTCTTAACAGTGTTAAAAGAAATAAAACTTGGGAGACTAAAATTTTGTCCTCTGGGAGTCCCACTGTAGAGAAGATTTTTCAAAAGTCCACCACACTTGGGTCAGAGTATTGAGAAGTAACCTGTTTCTCCTTAAAGTCAAGCCGGGGAGAACTGGAATCCTCTCTTCACTCCCCAGAACCTTACAGAACTTTTAAGATTCATAAAGGAACAGTGGGGTTCTGAAAAAGATTCAACACTTAACTCTGATTCCAAAGGCTCCTCTCAGTAGCACAGCACGCCAAGATGGACAGTGTGGAGAAGCGGACAGGCCACAAGCTGACATGAATATCTTGAAGTCCAGAGTGGCAGGACTAGATTCTCCAGACCCAGAGGGAAGGCAACTGTGATCTGGACCAAGAGTGTGGCATGGCTTGGGGGAGAAGCTCCCCTCTCCCATCCAACAAAGCCCAGCTTTCACTTCAAGCCCAGCTTTCACTTCACTAGTAGGGAACCCTCATTTCTTAGAGTTAATCCTAGTTACTGCATTGTACTGGGATATGCTTAACTAGATACAACTTAAAAAAAAAAGTTTATTCAGATTAGTTTATAAAAGGGGATACTTATGATGCTGGGTGCTACTGAAGTTGAGCTTGGTGGCAAGGTGCGTGCAAACAGCAGACCACTGTGCTCCCTCATGGTACCCACTGTAGCAGGGTACCCACTGCAGTCCCTGTGACTCTACCAGGTAAAGTCAGTACCTCCCGCACCAAGGGACGCTGCACCTTCGGAGGAAGATGCTCCAAGGCGGACAAAGCCAGCAATATTTCTCTGCCTGACTCCCATTTCTCCTATAGACATGAATGGCACAGAACTTCTAAGGGGAAGACCCTTCACCACGTGTGCATAGGACACCGGAGCCCCCAGACTGCCCCCATGGGGGGGGCCCTGCATACTGCTGGTCAGCTCCCACCATAGTGCCCTCCCTGTATGGCCCAGGCCTACCTTGAAGAGGGATGGTTCACTGAGACCCTCGGTGAAAATATTATCTTCTTGGCTAGTGGCTGGAGGCAGCGGGACTGACAGTTCTATATGAAAACTACGGTCAGTAAAAATTTACTTCAGTGTATGAATGTTACCAACAAAATGTACACACGCCCGGAGCTAACACTTAAGACACAGATACGGTAGTTAGGAGTTCAGAACTCAAGATAATACCTCCTGACATTAATTTCACTACACATGATGAATTTGGTATTAAAATAAGACAGACACACATGAAATGGCCACAACACACATTTGGTTTCTGAATTCCTGTTTGGGGCCAGACTGACCCTGGCTGTCCAGGCAGCCACTCGTGTGGGCCACCTCTGAGGCGGGAGGCCTGGAGGTCCTCGGAGAGGGGGGAGGACACAGCCACTGCTGGGCCCCGGGACAGAGACTGGCAGGCCCCAGCACCCCCGACTCAAAGCACGCGGGTCTAGAAACACCGCCTCGGCATGGCGCAGAGCGCAGCTGGAAGGTCCAGCTCCTTTTCTGACAATTGCATACATTACATTCCAGCAGGGAGGGGAAGAGCCTGAAACGCCACGTTTGCTCAAAAAGCCCTGTGGAAGATTTCCATTTGGCATCTGTGTAGCAGCATCTTGGGTCAACAAGAGCAAGGACAGGGAGGTGGGCGAGAGTGTCTGCAAGCTGGGGCACAGGTGGGGGGCGAGGCCCGGCTGAGCTGGTGATCCCAGGCTGTAGGGATGTCGGGATGAAGTCACCTTGCTTCTTGCCAATGATAAACCATGGGTTTAAAATTCATTAACATTCATTTTGGTGATAAAAATTCCTTAGAGTGGGAGCTAAATCACATTTCCAAGCATATAAGCCTTTCTGAGGGAAAGGGGCCCAGTTAAACATTAACTTCTTAAAACAACACGGAGCTTGGAGGTGGCAGCAGGTCCCTCCGCAGACCCCACCCACAGCCAGGACAGACTCGGCAGGTCTGCGCGGACAGTTTTCTTCATTCATCCTTCAAGTTCGACAGTGACACCCATGCGGAGACGGGCAGGGTGCCCCTCCCTGGAGGGCCAAGGCAGGCTGCTGGAGGAGCAGGTCCATCCTAGATGGGGTCACATCAGAGTTCAGACAGGACAAGTTAGAACTCTGCAACAGACACTTAAAAAAAAAAACATGATCTCTTGATAAAAATAAGTCGCAACAATTTTCAACTTCATGCAAATCGAGGAAAGAGGAGAGTGAATAATGATAAAAGGTACAGCTGAAAAAATAAACATGATTCTATTTGGGCGGAAGTTCATCTCCAATATCTCGAATGCTGCACCCAGGCTGACGACGTCCCATCTCCAGTCTCCACTCCTCCCTTACTCTCCTCTGCGTCTTCCAGGAAGGGGACAAAGTCTTTGGTCTCAGGATGTTGCGCGATGCAGCAAGGGACACAGCTCACACTACTGGGATTGGGGTAGGCCGGCCCCACGGCTGCCCCCGCCTGGCCAGTGGCGGGGCAGGGGCGCCCCTAGATGGCGCCCTCGCTGTGCAGGCTGTGGTTGGCCTTGCTGTGCGCCACACAGTTCTGTTCAGTGAGCAGGTTGGCCGTCTCGTCTGGCAACCCATCGTGCAGCTCCGTAAGAGTCAATTCAATTTTAGTGTTTTCACTGTCTGAAGACTGAGGGGTTTTGTCCATCCGGGATGCCATCAAGGCATTTTGGTATTGCTGTCTTGAGATCTGGGGCCAGAAGATGGCACAGAAAACAAACCAAGATAATCACACTTATTTTCAGGTTCTCGCCTCAACATCCTATTACACATTAAAGCCCCAGGAAGGCCCCAGTAGTTTCCTTAGGAAAAACGCATCCTTGGGTACCAACTGAGCCACTTTTAAAAGTTCAAGCTGACGGGTGAATAGGAAGATTACTGATCGGAGCCATTTCCAAATTTTGTCTCCACATTTCACAGGGAGATAAGGCTTCCATCAGGGAAAGCTGGCTCAGCTCATTCTCCAAAAGATGTCTTTATTTCAGACTAAGAGAAGACCCCCGCTTCAGGGCAGGACAGGAGCTAGGGGGAAAGTTCCGCACCTCCAGCCTCAGCCAGCCCTTCACGGGGTCGTGACCGGAAAGGGTTTACGCTTTCTCAGTGTCTCCTGCTCTCCCGTCCTGCAAAGCCACTGGTCTGATTTGGCAGCTCACTTGACAGATGCAAGGAGGTAAGTGAATCCCCAGCCTGAGCAGGGGCATCGCGGTGGGGGCAGGCCACCCCAAAGGGCCAGCGCAGCCGCAGGCTGAGGGGACGCTGCCAGGGGTGCTGGCCCTCAGTCTACTCGGCCAGGCGCTCCCCTCTTACCTTCACAAACTGCAGATCAGAGAGGGCTCGGACTGAGTAGTCAGGAATGTAGACTTGAAGGAATGAAGAGTTCAACTGGTTGTTGCTGCTCCCCAGCGTCGGCGTGATGGCATCAATCCTGTCGCTTCGGCTAAGAGAGTCTGAGTGATTCAAGCCACAGGGGCGAGGGGGCGACTTGTTTTCACCTGGAATTAGGAGGATAACCCCAAGAACCTTTACGTGAGGTCGAGGTCACCGAAGTGGTCAGTTCTTTATTTTCCAAATAATAAAACAATCGCCCTAGATAAGGCCCATCAACAGACCAGAGCCGCAGGCAAGCAGCTTGGGAAGCAGGGCCTTTACCCGCACTCACCCTCACCCGGCGGCCCGGTCCACTTAACTTCAGCTGACACCCCCCTCCCTGAGGCTCTGGGGGCGGGCACCTGCTGGCAGCACCCCCTCACCCTTGCACCGTACTACAGAGCGTGCAGACCAGGGCAGCTGAGGCCTCCAAGGCACAGAGCTACTCCACCTCCAACATGGCTCCAGAGAACCAGCCCTCCATTATTTAGCCAGAAGCAAAGCACTTGAGAATGTTCACTGATCGGTATATGATTTAAAGGGATGTCAAAAGAATTTCAGTACTATATCCTTCCAGAGCCAAACCTATGATCTTTGTCCCTGGCTCCAGTGAGACCTCCTGGTCCCGTACTCTGAGGATATGTCAGCCTGGAAGACACCAAACCCTGCAAATGTGACTTCTTCCATTTCTGCTTTTGCAATCATATCTACTGCACCCACATTAACCAGACATACATTAGCACAGGACAGATCCTGAACGTCAGGGGGTCGATTCCCCATCTGAAGATCAGTTCCTGCTCCTCTTTGCCTGTGTCCCTGACAGAACCCCGCAGAGAGCACCTGGCCTTCAGCTGGTCTTGTCCTTTAATAGTTAGAAAAGTCTGTCCTCGTGCCCATCAAAATCTGACACCAGAACTTCCGACGACAGTCCCACCTCTACTCTGTGGAATGCCACTGAGAAAGTCTCGTCCTGATCTCTCCACGGGCCTGCCCTGGAGCTCCAGGCTGGTGACCATGTCATGCACAAGACAGATCAAACAAGGGATCCCACTGTACTTCTGGGGAGGGACTGGCCTTCTCCAATTCGACAGACACCTTAGGAATGGTGTTTACTTCTGTGTGTAAAAGTAAAGGTCATAGAACAACGCACGTAAAGGGCTTTCCACGTAGTGATGGGCCTGGCCCGCGCTGGTCTGAGGGCTTGTGCTGTTGCCTTCAGTTCCTGCCATCTCTGGTCTTCCTAGGCATCGGGCCCCAGCTGGCTTGCTGTTTTTGTGAGGGGCCTGTCCTGAGCCAGGAGTCGCCTTGTGTCCTGGACTCAGACCTGTCTGTGTTCAGGCACCCACACAGCACACTCTGCCTTTCACACATACAAGTGAGGTGTCTGAGTATTCACACCATGGAGAAGACAGACTTCAGCAGCCACCTCCCATCTGGATTGTGCTTTGTTACTAAGCATCAGAGTTTTATGACAATAATAGTGAAAAAACTTTCACTGTTTGCTCCTCTTAGAATTTCCTTCCTGTTTTGGTTTACTTCAGTCAACCTATCTAACAATCCTTTCTTTTTGCCGAGAAGCTGCAAAAATGCCTGAGGAAACACCTCCGGCCTTCTTCCTTGGATCCACTAGACAATGGAGTCAATGGCTTAGTTGAAACCCCATTTGCCAGGTATCATGTTATTGTAATGCCAGCATTCTGGACAGTGTGGACCCACAAAATAGGATTTTCTATTTGTGGACCAAATGGAGGGGGCAGAGCTAAGGAGTAAAATGTAAATGACATTTCCATTAGCTTTGTCTAAAAGCCACTCTACTTCAATATCTTTGGTACGTTAATGAGGTAGCAGATGCAAGCAAATGAAATAGAAAAAATACAAACACGTATGTGTGTGTACACATCGGTACTTATGCACATCACACACAGACACCTGTGGAGGAAAGTGTGTACAGATGTGTATACTCTGCCAACCAGCTTTATAAAGCACAGCCTACTCCCAAATACTCCAAGTTTTTTAAGAGCAAAGATTTGAGGGAACATTAGCTTTTCCTCTAAGACAGGTATTTCTTCCTTTACCTAATATCAGCAGTTTAGAGCTTTGCTGAAAGTGGATTATGAAACACAAATTTTGTCAGTTAGATTTAAAAATATAAGCTGTATGGAACAAAATACAGAGAAGTGGTGCTGCCAAATAGAAACACCAACAATTTTAATTAAAGGAAGATTAAACTTTTGCCTTTCTTTGAGCAGCTGGACATGTCAGCCAGGCATGACCACCTCTCCTGCAGGGAACAACCAGCAGCTGCTAGGAATGTGTGCAGGGCTCTCAGACAAAGAGGGAGACGGGAGGACAGGGCCACCTGGCTGAGGGCGGGCAAAAATCTGTGTGTGCTCCCTTTCGCAGGGTGCTGGGAAAAGCACCAAGGCAGCAAGACAGCCGTGGGTTTCTGCAGAGAGACCCTCCCGCTGATCTGGAAACTCCATTCTGCAGTTTTTGGGTGAAAGTGCTCCTCAGCAGCACCCTCAGGCCTGGAGGCCCACAGGGCCACTGCAAACTCTGCCTGCCATGAGGAGGAGGCCAGCAAAGAGCCAAACGCCACTGTCTTCACTGCCCTGAATGCCCCGGGTCAGCAGTGTGGGTGGGGCAGGTAGGGCGGGCAGTCTGTGTCAGACTTCCCTTCCTTTCCATGTCTCGCCACTTCACGTCCCAAGGTTCCCCTGCAGCCCCCTGAAGCCTTTCTGCTTTTGTTGCACACTTACACAGTGTCCAGGACAGCTCACCATTAACCGTAGAAACTTGGAGTTTTAGAGCTCAAAGGAAAATGGACAATGGTCTAGACCAAATGAAAGGAGCAGACCTGGCCAGCCATGCTGTTGTGGGGTCATGAGGGGCAAATCAGGAGTTATGAAAAGGAAACATGCAGAATTACCTGGAGAACCTGCTGCTAACAACTCTGTTCTGCTGACAACAAAGGTACGAGACAGGGACAAAGGAACTGAAAAATGGAGAAAAACAGGGTGAGACTATATCAAAAGGCAAGAAGGAGGATCTCTGTGATTAGGGACAGGAATGGATACCTGTTCTACCAATATGACGCTCAATTCCAGAAAAGGAAACACTGGCATGACATTATGTGCACAAGTAAAGCACACGCACCGCTTTCCAGGAAGAGGACCACTGGAGGCCGACGTCAGGAGAAATCCTGCTCACATGCTTCTTTACTAATTTAGAAATCTCTTAAGCCATTAATACCCAATTGGGGTTTATAGCTCAAAACGTGCTATTTTGAAGGACTTAAATCACAAATAGCCACACAAAAGGGGGGCTCAATTAATCGAGCGCCCCTAGAGCGTGACCCCAGCCGCCTGTGCCAGCACCCACATTCACTCTCCGCACAGCTGGCAGCATCCCTGGAACAAGCCAGCAGTGGTTCAGTTAACTTACACTCTTAGTCTGATGGCAGTTGTGACCGGTTTTAAAATACTTGGGAATGAATTTAAAGGAGAATAAAGACTCGTGTGCAGATTTCACAGGCACAGCAGACCTATTGTCCTGAGCACTTTCTAGTCAGACGGAAAGCTGCAGCATCCATGGGCCATCATGCAGGAATGTGTTTTCTGGGCAGGCCTTGAGAACTGATTACTGTAGGTTTTTTCCAGGTAACTAACATTAATAAACAGAATCATTACCTTATGATTACTGTACTAATTACACCTCTTGATGACTGTCCAAAATCCCAAATTCTAATTACCAAGTCAAGTAAAATACGGGGCTTTGTAATAATCACGGTACCAACAATGACATTCCCTTCCTTTCTTAGCACTTCAAACTAGGTAGGGCCCGGCCCCTCCCTAGCTAGAAGACTTCACAGGTTCTTTGCTACTGAAGGCCTGCACTTCGACTCCTATTCTGAATGGGATTTATTCTTATGTGAATCTGTAGTCGATCTGAACTAGGCTGGTGTTTATTTCTAATAAGGCTAACATTTAGATTTTTAAGTATACCAGTAATCAGAAAATCCTAACACTTGCTCTCCTAGTTTTCTTTCCAAACCACTTTATGAATCTGGTTCCGCTAACTGGGGCTAACGTGTGGATGACTGCCAAACAGCAGCCATGACCTCAACAGCCAACTGTCCATTTCCTCTTGTGCTTTAAACACCCATGAAAGTCTTCAATCACAAGAAGTAATCCTCTATCCCTTTCAGTAAAAAGGGAAGCAAGGACCTTTCTCAAAATCAGGGAACTCATATGTGATGGAGCTGAGGTTGTGACACAGGTCTTCCCAGGCCTATCCAAGAATCTTCCAGTTTGCTTGCTAGTAGCAAAAAAGTTTACAACAGACACACTGTTAAGTGTGTGTTAAGTGTGGTTAGTCAGGCTCCTACTCACACTAGCTGTCGATCAATGGTTTAACGTGGAGAAAATATGGCTTATGATTCAAAACCTGTACCGGGACAGTGAGAAGATCCATTTGGGTCGGGGTGGGGGCTATAGGCTGATAATTTTAATTCTTGGTGTCTGTCTTCCTAATTGTAGCACCCTTGGGTGCTCTGGGACAACTGTGTGGTGTGGCAGATGAACATGACAGACTTGTGTGGAGGTATGTGCTCCCTTTTTCAGAAGTGACTTTTTTTTTTTTTGGATGGGCTATTTTTATATGTGAGGTTTATAAAAGAAGTTTCTTCACAGGGCCTGTCTTTTGACACTTTGGCCACTTGGTGGCACTCCAGCACCTGCTTACCTGCATGCCCTATTCCAGTCTGGGCACAGGCACAGGCACACACACCAGCAAAGCAAGCAATGCAGAGAGGGATGTCCCGGTCCTATCCCAAAGGCGGTCAGGGCGCATCCCATTCATACCAGGCCAGACACCACCCGCTGACATCTTGGAATCTTGGACTCAAGAGTACTCAGGCGAAAACTCATGGCAGGACCACCCTATACACACAGACATAAGTAGGAGCCACCCCTCCAGGCACAGCAACAACCTCATGCATCCTCAGAAAAAACGCAAATTTAAACACCTCCAAATGGTTAAATTCGAAAGACTCAGCAACCCAAAGGACCAAACCGATGCAGGGCGACTGGAACCTCCTCCAGCACAGGCAGGCAGGGCAGCGCCACACACTGGGAGAGCAGCTGGCTGCTGCCACGGGCGCCCGGCGCCTGGAACGCTGCGCTCCGCCCACACACGCCACGCTCACGAGAGACACACAGACACGGGTGCTCTCAGTCACATTCTGCTGACAGCCCCACGCTGGAAACACCCGGCCACCAACAGCAGGGGGCGGGCGCACCGCGTGCTGCACGGCCCAGACCCCCAGCAGACCCACGCGCAGCAATGCAAACCAGCGTGACACGGAGAGCAGCCAGACTCGACAGCAAGCATCCACCAGCGTCATTTCAGTCACATAAAATTCAACAGTTAACAAAATGGATTTATGCTTAGAATTCAAGACAGTGGTCATTTCAGGGGGGTAGTGACTTAGAACCGGAGTGCAGCTGTGGGGCTTCTCCGGGGCTGGGGTCTTCTGTCTCTTGGATCTGGGTGCTGATTTACAATTTGTGAAAATTTTTGGAGACGGGCAGGCTTTTTTGCACATATACGTCAATAGACAGTTCAAAAGATAAATAAACAGCGTTACCTGACAGGTCGAGGAGGGGCATTTTTTCCCAAGACATGGCTGCCCTTAGAGGCTGAGCAGGAAACTCACCTGGAGAGGCTGTGAGGGCCATTACACCATAGTATGAAAAAGCACTGGCTTCAAACTTCATACCTTCTTTCCCAGCCTCTACTTCCACTTTTCCCTGTGGAAAGAAAAGGGGAATAATTTCAGTTCAATGCCATGAATTTATTTGAAAGCTCAATGTGAGATGGTGCTTCCTCAGACTTTTCTCCACACTCCTTTCCCATGGTCTCAAGGAAGCAAGCCTCAGGTAACCCTTTCTGCTTGGAGGAGTAGGTGAATCCACCATAACTATGAAAACTGGACTTGGAGATGCAGAAGGTGACAGTGAACGTGTGTCGTTTAATTTCTGCGAGTTCACTTAATCTTTTCTTGGATTCTTCCCAGTAAGAAAGCAAAGGTTCTCTTGCCCCACCAGTTGCCCAAGCTACGCTGCAGGAGCCCAAACTGGTGAAGTCAGAGTCCATATGGTCTCTGGCTGTGGATCTGAGGGGGCAGGAGGCTCCAGCAAACAGCAACACCACAGCACCTTCCCCACTATCCTGGAAAATGCCTTAAAATGCCTCCCCCATCACCTCAGGGATAAAAACCCTCCCTAAGGTTTTCCCCTCCCTTCCCTTTAACCAACTTGTTAAAACTTCTGTCCTATCTCTTCTTTTGGGACAGACCGCTGATGGCTTAGCCCCCTGCAGCCTCAGGAGTCCCCATAACCACCCCGCAGGTGCTCAGGGTGTCCTCTGAGCTGTGGACATATTCTCACAATTGAGCTGCACTGCTCCCGTTCCAAGACAAGGGTCAGAAGGTTTACTGTTCGTATTACCTATAATTTGTCTCTCCAATGAATGGGCACCTTTAGATGCCTCCTCTACCACGAACAAACACAACTGAGGAACTGTGCTAACAAGTCACCAAACTTGAGCAATTCACTCAGCGCTAACAGCTCCACGACAGGCACACAAGAGCATTCCTGCAGCACAGGAGAGCAGGGCTCATAATGCGCACAGGGCAGGGGCGGGCTCCTGGCCACCAGGCCACACCACGCCATCCTGGCTCTAGCAAGGCGCTTACAGGAGGCCACTTATCACCTCTCTTTGGTTTTCCTTCACTTAACAGAACTACTGGTTTTACAGCCTCCAACCAATTCTTTTCCAAAGAAAGGAACTGAAATCACCAGCCATGAGAGCTGCAAACAATTAGGCTGAAACCCCCACCAACCAGGGTCCCACAGGGCACGCAAGGAGGCAGTCCTAGCCGGAGATGGCCTGGGGGGGGGGGGTTTAGGGAAAGAAGCCTCCAGAGATAAGGAAAACCCAGTAAGACTACATGGAATGCAGAAGGAAGATTGTGCCTGTTCTTTCTCAAGACACATGTCATGCAGGACACATTTTATATGCAAGAAGTGGGCTCTGATACAAAGAGAAGGATGTGAAGAAGGTCAGGGGGCAGCAACAGCCAGTGAGGCTGGCTGGGTTTGCATGGGAAGACAAGGGAGGTGCACCTGGAGAGCATGTGGTGAGCAGGTCAGACCCCATGAAGGACGAGTGAATGAGATTAGAGAGTTATGGCTTCAGGAAGACGAAGTCTAGACTTCCTTGCATGTAGTAGTCACAGAACCGGAAAGAGATGGCTGTGAGCAAAGCTATGGATAAGGCGCCAGTGTGAGCAGGGGTGTGAATATTCGATCACAACTGAAGCGATGACCTGGGAATGGGGACACCAGGAGTGGAGATGGGGCACTCTGGGAGGGGCTGCATGTGGGGTGGGGGGCAAGGAGAGCCCACACACCTGAAGAGCCAGGAACTGAAAAGCCAGGTCTTTTGAGGAATCCACTGAAAGGTTCAAATGGAAGCAGGAAGGCCAAGAGAGGGGTGAGAACTGGAGATGGAGTAAGAGGGGGAAATGGAAAGAGAAAAGGCCATCTGCTGCCAGCAACAGAGTGGGGAGTCCAGAATGAATGTGGGCCCAAGGGCGAGCAGACCAACAGAGCCCCCAGTTACTGTATCACCCCAGAAGCCAGGTCAAGGGGAGCTGGGGGGGGGGGAACCAGCACAGGCACAGAGGCAGCCACTGGGCTTCGGGGGTTTTCTTCACTTAACGGGGAAGGAGAGCAGCAGGCAGGAGGCCCACAAGGAGAGGTGACGCAGGGTAAGGAGCATGGTGCTTGGGTGGGCAGAGGCTGTGGAGGGTCAGGGAACCCGGGCGCCCACAACAGTAGCGTGGCCAGAGAGGGCTGTGCTGGAGGAGAGATGGTGAAGCAGGAGCGGGCAGGAGAGAGTCTGACGTCAGAGGGCACCGGCCTTAGGGGAGGGGGGAACTCAGTATTCAGGGGGCCACGAAAATCCCAATGCTCAGTGGTGTCTCTCTGCTGGGTCACCTTACCCAGGTCTTTAACTGTATCTCGAAAGTGACCACAGGGCCAGCCCACAACCTGAACTGAGAAGGCTGCACGGAGTGAGCCTCAGAGCGGCTTCTGCCCGGTGAGCTCTAAGGGACCCAGATCATCAGCTTCACCGGTTATGGGGCCGTCTGTGTCCCCAGTTGTGTGATTCACAATTCTTTTGTGGTCACTTGTCAGAACTACACAGCAACACTCTCCCCAGACAAGAATGAATGGCAGCAGCCCTGTCTGCCTCCTCCCAGAGCCAGCACTCACACCTGGTGCCCAGACCCTCTGTCCGGTGAACACCAACGATGTCTGGCTCCCGCTCCCGGCAGCCTGTTCTAGTGAAGGGGGTGGGGGCAGGGCGCGGGAGAGGGCCGGCCAAGCACGGGACTTCCCGTGGGTGAGTGGGCAGCCTCTCGGCCAGCGGGGCTTTGAGCCTGCTGGTGCCTGCACAGGGGCCGGCAGCTCTGTGCACCTGCCTCTCAGAACCCCACCCCACCCCCACTGCAGCTGTGGGCCTGCTCACTACAGGGCCAGCTTCAGAGGGGTCAGCGCTCTATGCTGCAGCCATTCCAAATGGCTCCCGCCTCTGTCCTTTGAGATGGGTCCTCAGGAGGGGAGGACCAGCCACTTTCCTTCTGGATTCTACCTAGTCTGGCTTCAGCTGGCAATGAGGCAGCTAGCCGTAGCAGGTCAG